GACAGGCGGTCCTGGAGATCACTTATTATTGAATCTAGAAGAGGGATGTATATAGCTCTGCGAAAATACTCTTCAGCAGATTGAGCAGGTTGGTTATTGGCCCAATGTATTTGTTTTGATACTATTCTGGGGCATTTAATTTCTACATCTAGCTGCTCAGCTACTTCTTTAGCTACTTCAAAAAGCTGTCGGTAGATTACGTCCACATTTTCTCTTTTATTTTGTAAAACACTTAAAGTATCATTAATAGCGTCCGTAGCTTTTTTTAAATCAATTGAGTTCGATTGCAGTATTCTGCTTAAAGATACATGAAAAATAAAAAGTAAGTGACTGTGACTGTAGTACATAAACTAAGAATTTATAACTTAATATATATATATATAAATATAACGCAATACTTTACATGATTACATCAAAGTTTTCGCTAGGTGCTTTTAAAAATTTTAAGCAAGATTATAAGTTTATACATGCTATATTCATTCTGTTGGTTGCTCTCTTATTTTATTTTTAAAGAGCATTAAAATAAGTGTGGTCACGACGATACAAGAGATACAAGATTTTAGATTAGGTCGGTAAGCTTGATGCTCTTCAATCTCCATCGTCCAAAATAAAAAAAAGGCATTGAATTATATGTACTACGTACTAGAGAAGCCATTCCGAACATTGACTATGTACAACTGAACTGTAGTACAATCCATACAAACTAAATATTGCGTAAATTGAAGATTTGTGAATTCCATAAAATAATTATTATTACATTTTATTTAGAAATATGTGTTTAGATTAAATTAAGATATTTTATATTAAATTCTTATATTTATTTTATATTAATATCTTATTTTATATCAAATTAAAGTATTCGCGCATACGCGACTACTACTCCCGCGCATGCGCGAAGAATAGAATAGAATAGAATAGAATAGAATATTTTTTATTCAATATACATTACATGTGTAATTCTTATTGAAAGTCATTTTTTACTTTACCACTGGTTCGAAAAAACCCTCTGTCCTGGGAAGAACCAGCAAGAAACCCAGCGGGACTTTTTTTTAAATAAATTTTACAATATAAATGATTACGAACTATTTACAAAATTTATTTTAGAAACTGCTTGGAAGCGATCACCTCATTCCCAGGGGTTATTATCAACCATGTATTCATTTATACTATAATAACCCTTTTTATACAGTTTCAGCTTAATAAAACATTTAAACTTGGTAATAGAGAGAACCTGTACACTTTCCGGGACCTTGTTGTAATAGCGTATACATTGCCCCAAGAATGAATTACTGACTCTGTGGAGTCGAGAAACTGGTATCACTAGCTTGTGTTTGTTCCTAGTGTTTACAGAATGTATATCACTTCTTTTACTAAAACTATCTTTGTTTTTGTGAACATACATTAAATTTTCGTAAATATACTGAGAGGCCAAAGTTAATATATTAATTTCTTTGAATTTATCTCTAAGAGACTCTCTCGGTTTTAGATTGTAAATAGCTCTAATGGCCCTCTTCTGTAAAACAAAAATAGTTTCTGAATCAGCCGCATTTCCCCATAGCAAAATCCCATAAGACATTATGCTATGAAAATAACTAAAATAAACTAATCTAGCTGTCTCGACACTAGTGAGACCTCTAATCTTTTTTACAGCATAGGCTGCAGAACTTAGTCTGCTTGCTAATTTGGATATATGGGGGCCCCACTGGAGCTTTGCGTCAAGAGTGATGCCAAGAAAAACAGTGGATACAACAGGGCTCAATTCCTCCCCATTTAAAAACACATTGGTATTCAGATTTTGAACATTCGTTGTTGTAAATTTAACACAATTAGTTTTATTTCCGTTCAAATGCAGATTATTAACGTTAAACCAATGCACTAATTTTGATATAGCATTATTCACTTCGTCACATTTAAATGATTGACGTTTAAGTTTAAAAATCAAGGAAGTATCATCAGCAAATAATACTATATCATGACTATCCCCTACAAGGTGAGGTAAGTCATTAATATACACCAGAAACAGGAATGGGCCGAGAATCGAGCCCTGAGGTACACCCATTAGTACAGGTGACCCGGAAGAACTTTTACCATTGATAATAACCTTCTGTTTTCTATTACTTAAATATGAAATAATAAGTTTAAGCGCTGTGTTCTTGACACCATAGTACTGTAGCTTCCTGATTAATGTCTCATGGTGAACACAGTCGAAGGCCTTGGAAAGGTCACAAAATATACCCAAAGCATCCTCTGAATTCTCCCATGCACAAAAAATATGTTTAATAAGCTCAACTCCAGCGTCAGTTGTCGAGCGACCCCTTGTAAAACCGAATTGATTATTATGTAGCAATTTATTAATAGTAAAGAAACTTAACATCTGATCTAAAATAATTTTTTCAAAAATTTTACTTAATGTTGGTAGTACAGAAATTGGTCTAAAATTGGCGGGGTCTAATGTACTACCAGATTTAAATATAGGTATGACTTTACTATGTTTCATTAAATCAGGAAACACACCAGATTCGACGCTTATATTAAATATAGTGGCTAGATAAGGTGCTAATGTATCTATTATAGATAAAATAACTTTAACGGAAATCCCCCATAAGTCTGCCGTTTTCTTAACATCAATAGTTTTAAAATATTTAACGATATCTTTTGGCAGTACCCTATGGAATTTAAAAGTATTTGAACAAGCCTTTACATTTTGTTTGAGCAATGATTCGGCGACAGTAGGAGAAGAATTTAATGATTTTGTTGTCAAAAAAGGAACATCAGTAAAATGTTTCTCAAAAGCCATAGCAACTTCTTGATCAGATCGCGTTAAATTATTGTTAATATTCAATTGAAAATCCGAGTTGCGCGGTTTGACCTTGCCCGTTTCACTATTTATTATTCTCCAGGTCATATTAATTTTGTCGGATGCAGTTTTAATTTTGTTGCTTAAATGTAAAGCCTTAGCAGTGGAGCACACTTTTTTAAATATTTTAGAATATGTTTTTACATAATCTCTAAATATAACACTACTATTATATGATCTTTCATCATAAAGCCCGTATAACCTTCGCCTACTTTTATAAATTGCTACTGTCGCCCATTCATTAAATGATTTGCGACTGTTAAAAGAGAAAGTTTTAGAAGTAAATATTCTACTAAATTCACAACGTATAATTTCAAATAATGTAGCATACAAATAATTAGCACTATTTTTAAACGAAAGTGATGGAAGTCTTTTTATTATATTACTTCTAAACCTCTCCAAGCGATGTTCATTTATTGGAACAAACACAACTTTCTTATTTTTCTGTTTTTTGTGTATGTAACTAGTGATACTAACTGTGATACTAACTAAAAGTGATACTAACTGTCCACAGTGATCTGAACTTAAATTTTGAATAATTGATTTATGCAAGGGCTTAACATCTGTAAAAATGTTATCTATACAGGTCGCACTAGGCCCAGCAATACGTGTTGGTTCTAAGAATAAATTTACAAGATTATACGATTTAAACAATGAGCTAAACTTAATACTAATGGAAGAAGTTTCAAGGAGATTGATATTAAAGTCTCCACACATTACAACAGACTTGTTCTGTTTACTAAGTTTGAGTAAAACTTCTTCCACAATCCTTTCAAAATGGTCATTAGTAGCACATGGGGGTCTGTAAACACTTACAACAATGAGGTGCTCGAGCTCGACACAAGCCATTTCTACAGTTCGTTCAACAGAGAGGCTCACAATATCCTTACGTTCTTTATATAATAATGATTTATCTGCTAATATTAAGGAGCCACCACGTAAACTTTTTTCTCTATTGAAGGAACTGACCACCTGGTGATTTCTGAAATTAAACATGAAATTATAATCTTTTAGCCAATGTTCAGTAATACAAAAGATGTGTATATTGTTACTATTTAAAAACAATTCAACTTCCAATTCTTTGCCCAACATGCCTTGTATATTTTGATGCACCAGGTGTAAACAATTTTTATTACTTATTTGTGGGCTGTATTCAAAATTAATTAAACTCTTATTATTGACAGACATAGAGTAGGACACAATTTTTGTTTGGAATGGCTTCTCTAGTACGTACTACATATAACTCAATGCCTACAGGTAGGCACATAAGTCACGCAGCACTCTTTCATTATGTAGGTACCTACATATCTACCTATGAGGTACTTTATGAACATTAACAACAATAACATTTAAGTTAAAACACACGCACTGGAATAATGAGAAACTGATTACTTACCATTTCTTGTAATTAATGAATTTGCAGCAACAATTTTTAAGAATACTTATAAAGGTACACTTACAAACACATTACAAGTAGAAAGAAATATTAGTTTTTTAACTTAGAACTATGTTATGATATTGCTTGTTTGCGAGAAGCTTGACATAATTCAAAAATCAGCAGTTTTGAGTTAAGTATACAGGTGAACGCAGAAAATTTTGTTCTATTTGCTGCAAAAACGACATTACGCTAAGTACAAAAATGAGAGAGCGAGAGAGGTTGTGCCCTTATGTTCCGTCGCAATCTTACTGCTGCTTTGTTTCGAGACCGTAGCATCTCAGTTAGCGTGGAAACGTTTTAGATTGTGCACGTGCTTGATTTCAGCGACGACGACAAATGTTCGACGTTCGACGACGTTCTTTTTACAAGGTAAGTCAATAATATCACGTAACCCTTTAATAGAAAGATGTCATTACTATACTTATGACGACCTTTTATTTGAAATACGTTTAAAAAACCACCGTCATATTTTCCGTTAAGTCGTTCTTTCTGGAAACACAAACAGATACCGACAGTCATAATTCGTTATTGTACATTTTTGATAGCAAAAATAAATCAATAGACTATTTCAATAATGTCATATTATAAGTTACATTGTTATTGTTGTTAAAGTCACAGAATATTTCTTGATGTTATTTGCACTATTTTATATTAAGTCATTATTGATAATAATAATTTTATGTTTAAGGTACTTCTTTGATAGTCATGGATTCCAGTTTAAGAAATAGCAGAGGGAGAAGAATATTGGCTTTAATTAATCACCGTGTAGATGGACCTCCGAAAACAGTGTCAGATGAAAAAGGTTAATTATAGTTACTTATTTATAACCTATTTTTCCTAATTCACTTTGTTTGTTTTAATTTACTTGTTTACTTGATTTTTAGAAAACGATGATACCAATGAAATTGAGGGCAATGTTTCTTCAAAGGAACATAGCAGTGGAAATACTCAACGCAGTCGCTCCAACAGCTCCTCTTCCTCGAGCTCTTCCAATAGCAGTACAAGTCCTTCATCATCTACTTCATTCATTGAAGGTCATTTTTCAGTTTTATACCAATTTACGAATTTATATTTTCAAATATGTTTCTATTTATTCAAGGCCTGCTTAGCAGAGATAAGTTGGTAGTAGTTAAATAATATTACTATTAGACCGTTAACGTTTCTTTTCTTTTACAGATAGTGATGATTCCGTCAAGGATCCTCCCTACCAACCACCTGACAGTCAATCCCCCGTGTCTCCAATAATGTTTGACTACTTTAGTGAAAATGATAATGAACAATTTAGACAGTTGCCGGTACAATCAGATTAAGTCATAAGCAGTGACGCTAATCATGTTCCAGATCAAGAAAATGCAATAAAGAAGAGAGGAAAACGAAAAAGAGATGAAAATAACTGGCAAAAGAATGTTATGAAAAAACTAAGAAATGAAGGAAAATCCTATGTGAGTACTTCTAAAAAAATTGTACCAGCGCGTAAAATTAAAAATGCCTGTTTTGAAAAATGCAAATTGAAGTGCAGCACAAAGTTTACTGAAGCTGAAAGAATGTCTATATTCGATGATTATTGGTCGCTAGGCAGTATTTTAAAACAGTGGAATTACATTTCTAATTGTATAGAGGATATAAAACCTAAGTATCGCTATGTACGTGAAGGTGGCACCAGAGAAAAGCGCCGGTACAATAGTGCATTTTATTTTAATTTGCATGAAGAAAAAATAAGAGTCTGCAAATTGTTTTTTAAAAATACGCTTGGAATCACAGATCGACCTATCCGAACAGTCTTAGATAAAAAAATAAAGTTGCAGGGAATCTTTTAGCAGACGATAATAGAGGGAAACACAAAAATCACGCAAAAGTTGATGATACTATCCGTAAAGCAATAAAGGAACACATTGATTCTATTCCCAGAATGGATTCCCATTATTGTAGAGCCACCTCTTCCAAAGAATATATAGATGGTGGTAGATCAATTGTCGATATCCATAAAGATTACATAGAAATCTGTAAGTCTAAAAACATTCCATATGGGAATTATACTCTGTTCTACAGAATTTTTACGGAAGAATATAATATTTCACTATTCCAACCAAAAAAAGATCGTTGTGATTGTTGTGTTGCTTATGATAATTGTGAAGGCGAAGAAAAAGAAAAGAAGAAGCAAGAATATGATACGCATTTAAAAGAGAAAGACCTATGCCAAACAGAAAAAGTCAAGGATAAGGAAAATAAAGATGCAGTTGTCGCTGTTTATGACATGCAAGCTGTATTCCAATGCCCCAAAGGGGATATCTCATTATTTTATTATGTAAGCAAGTTAAATGTCTTTAACTTCACTATATACGATCTTCATTCTAAAGATGTAGAATGTTATGTTTGGGATGAAGCTACAGCCAACAGGGGCGTTAATGATCTGGGCACCTGCCTATTTAAATATTTACAAAATCTGGCCCAAAACAACAGCACAGTGGATGTAATATTTTATACCGATAACTGTGTGGGCCAGTAAAAAAATAAAATTATGTTGTCTATGTACATGTTTGCTGTGCAACATTACCCAAACATAAAAACAATTACTCACAAATATTTAATTAAGGGACACACCCAAAACGAGAGTGACTCTGCGCATTCCCTCATTGAAAGGCAGGTTAAAAAGCAAATCAGAAGTGGTCCAATGTACACCCCTGAGGCCTTTATTAGTGCAATCAAAGTTGCTAGATCAAACCCTACACCTTTTCGGGTAAATAAAATGAACAATGATGATTTTCTCGATTGGAAAGATGTCTGTTCTCAAATGGGTGTAAACATAACAAAGGATGAAGAAGGAAACACTATCAAATTTGCAGACTTGAAAGTTGTGAAAGTAGATAAAAATCATCCTCGAGCCATATTTTTTAAAACTTCTTATGAACAGCAAGAATTTAAAAAAGCAGAAGTGATAAGAAAGAAAAAATCTGTAGATGTTGAAGTGAAAAAAGCGTATGACGTAAAACCGGGATTAATTAAGAAGAAAAAAGACGGTTTGTTGGAGTTGATCAGAAAAAATGCCATTCCCAGATATTACGCTCCTTTTTATAACTCTCTTTAAAGTCGTAATTTAAACATTAAGTTGATTTTTTAAATATTTTTTTAATCAGATACGCAAGTAAAATGTTCTTCATCTTAGGATAAGTCCAAATATTTGCTATAAACAATGCTACAGTGATTTAAAGTTTATTTGAAAGTTATTGTTAAATTAGATAAGACCAATGTTAAAGTGATTTAAGTTTAAGTGTAAGTTATTGTTGATTATTTTATTTCTTAAGTACCTAGTTAAGTTACCTACAGTAAATGTTGTGTCTATTTAACTATAAATTAAAAGGCTGATGATAAAGATACTTGTTTTCAATAATGACTTAATGTCATTAAAACCTCATCTGAATAAAATACTTATTATCAATATAGACTTATGTGTAAATAACACAAAAAAAATATTATTTTTTATCCGTAATAACGTCACAAGTGATACCCTATTGTTGAAAACTTGAAATAATAACAAAAGTTCTTGCATTTTAGTCTTGTATTTTAGTTTAACATTGAGACTGATAAATCAGAAGAAGATTTAACATAGTCAATGTTTCAGTACATACTGTAATATACATTTATTTATTTTTTAAACTTTTAAATCATCATACCCAAAACTTGCACTTTTTGAATTATGTCAAGCTTCTCGCAAACAAGCGATATGTTGAAGTTTAGTTGTTTCAATTCCGATTGAGGTTAGGTCTAGCTAGATGTTACGTAGTCGAAAAGCGCGCGCAAGTGTGGCGCCGTAAAATTCAAATTTTCGATGCGTTCGTTCCCAAACGTTTGCAATCATACAAAGTTATTATATTATATTAAATTAATTAAATATTGAAGGTGTGCAGTTACATAAAATCTGTATGGTGACAAAATATATAAATAAAATCATTATGTTCAATTAGTGGTCCACCTAAGTCCTGGAACCAGCTCAGGGGGGGGTCATGACCCCCATGACACCCCCCTTGGATCCGCCGTTGCAGACTTACATGTATTAAATACCGCTGCAGTACAGCACAGTGTTACTAACTCGTTTTTTTTTTTCGAAATCTGTAGATTGGTATAAAAATTCCGTAGAATTCCGTAGATGCTATTTTAAAATATCCGTAGATCTGCAGACTTCTTTAAGAGGATCGAAAATTTTTGTTTTTATCATCATATCATAGAATAGATTAATTTTTTGGAGAAATTCTTTCTGTCATGTAAAATTCTTGTTGTAAGTTCAATTGTAGTATCTGTAACATCGAATCAAGCTGCACCACAAAGCACCATAAAAAAATGATTAAAATTTTATTGTTTTCTTTTAATTAAATTATTTTTAGTAAAAAACAAATAAAATAATCAAAACTTAAATATTTTTGGGTAGTTATACTTCTTCAATTGTTAATATTTACGATTGTCGGTTGTCGGCTATATTCACTCATGGTAAAAAATGTGTTTTTTTTTTATTGTAAAACTAGCTGTTCCCCGCGACTTTGCCCGCGTGTTATTTGTAGTATTAATTGTTTTACACGGAACCCTAATTCTTTTTCTTTAATAAAATTAGCCTAATTTGCTCTCTGTGACATCAGCTATCTTCCAGTGAAAATCCCATCAAAATCGGTCCAGCCGTTTCGGAGATTAGCCGGAACAAACAGACAGACAGACGGACAGACAGACAAAAACTTTAAAAGTTGTATTTTTGTTATTAGTACCGTATATACTTTCATATGCATTTAGTAAAACGCTGTAATTTTGACATTACAAACAGACAATTCAATTTTATTTATTTGTGAAGATTTTTAAATATCAAATTATTCTGAAAGGATTGTGAATTACAAAAAAAAACAGTATAGAACCGGTATTTAGGGGTTTCGGTGCCTATACCGGAACAGGAACCAGAACTTAAATTGGAACCTTTAAGAACCTTTATTTTACCGGTTCCTAAGCAAACTTGTTTGAGGTCGGGTGGACGGGACGATTCGACGCGCTGCGGAGTGTGAGGAGAGGGTTTGTAAGACATCACATTTGTACTGGTGGATCTTCTGTTGCATATCAACGCAACGTTGCCAACTCTACGGATTTTGACGTATATCTACGGAAATTTGTCGTCATCTACGGAAAAGCAGTTTACACTGCTGTGTTTCGTATGGTGAGAACCGGAGACCCTTTTTACTGGAAAAGAGGCATTCCATCTTAGTCCTCACGGGTGATAACGCATCTGCATTTCGATTCGCAAACGAGGATAAATGTATATGTCTATGGGCCACAGCAACCACTTACCATCAGGTGGACTGTGTGCTCGTTTGTCACCCTATCCTATAAAAAAAAAACTACGAAATTTGAGGTTGCAATCTACGGAATTTTTATAAACTTAACAAGATTTTTTTTTATCACGAGTGTGATCTTGCCGACAATGTCATTCTCTCTCTCTGTCTTCTGTGTTGTCTGTAAGTATTAAATTATATTTAATAATTAATTCTATGCTATCTGTATTAAAATAAAACCATTTTTGCTTATAAATATCCAATTTTTGTGAGGTTAATCGATTTCAAAGGAGAATGCCAGATTCTCGATAGAACTTTGCCCCACCCAAAAGTGTTGTGTACACGAATGCCGTATGCAACATTTTTTTTTAAATACTAGTAATGCTTAACATTACTAGTATTCCCTTTAACCACTTTTGGTAAGCTTAAAATGCTTGTGTTAGAAGTGGTTCACGTCAGTAATCGTATGGCGGATTCGAACCCACGATCTTTCGAGTTCCCGGTCCGCGCCCTGCCATTAGGCTACTATTACTATTATATTTATTACTTCATACAAATTATACATTTGAAGACTCTAGAACTTACGATTTTTTTAACTGGACTTTAATAATTACGTTTACCTTATTTTTTAGAACAGCATTCGTTGCAATTCATTGTAATTTTAGAATATAAATTGTCAGGCGCTAATGACATATTATATAAATAAAAATTTAAGAATTTAAGGAGCATATTAATAAAGTGATCAGTAACATTGGGAAAAGGGTTCTCTTGTATAGAATCTAAAAGGTCCTTACACAATATTAGACTAGCACTACCTGTTTTTCATAAAATCTAAGTCCTGGTCATGTACACGAGTTATATTATTTACAAAATTATTTTTCAAGATACATATTATTATGACATGTGTCTGAAGAAGGTGGAAATATTTCATAGACATAGTATCTTATAGACTAAACATTCAGTGACGTCATCAGCGTGTGAAAGGAATGCACGTATATAGTAAGACA